GCGGGGGGTGCACCGCCAAGCTCAGGGGTGCATATGCACCCCCTACACGTCGCCAGTGCAGACACATTAATCATCTCCGCAGTAAGGCAACTCCACAGTAAACGTGTAGGACCGCCCTCAGTGACAGGCTTGTCCTGGCTCAAGCTGTGGTAGGGGAAGCAGCACTGAAGGAGGTTTGCCTTCGTGTAGGTCAACACCCAGAGCAAAGCAAGAGTGCCACCACGTGGGCAGCAGCTGCTGCCGGCTGGCAAGGCCTGGGAGACAGCAGGACAGGGAGATTTACAGTTAAGGCCCTGCCACACATTACATGTATTTAACCAGCTAGTGGTGTATCGTGCAATAAACTGACTAACCAGGTGCAAAGCAAGCCTGGCCACATGTGCAAAGTAATTATCATGTAATTAACTAGTTGGTCCTGCAATAAATAGACCAGCCACACCTGTAAAGTAATTACCACACCATAAAAATGGCATCCAGTAGTAAAAAGAACCAACCACCTACAAAGGTCATGCTCAAAAGTGTGTAACAGTTTTCTAGCTATTTCTATCCAGCTAGGGTTACCATACATCCAGCTCTTCCCAGACACATCCTCTTTTTGGATCCTCCAATCTGCATCTGGGCTGTGGCATATCATTGCCCCTCATGGCAGATGCCCTCTTTTTTGGGACTGGAAATACAGTAACCCTAACTAGCTTTAATTTGATTGTGGGGCAGGGCCCTCAGATGTTCAGTGACTAAGGCACATTAACAAAATATGATCAAGCTTGGATAGTGGTTTATAAGTATTTTACTTGTTCTTTGGTAGGAGATGGCAAAATGGCAGCGCTAGTTTAAAACAGATAATGGGAGGAATACCCATCTGTGAAGGAGCTTTAGTTTCTGAGGAAGTTGAATTTAGGCTATTGATGCTGGTTTTAAATTCTCTAGTACTGGAGGAGCTTGAATGGCGGCTGCCCGACCTCTGAAAGACTTTGCAATTTTCATGCAGAATAATAAATGTTTTCCTATCACTTTGTCCTTCTCCAGAGACATAAAAGGTGAAAATAAAGTTAATGCACTGATATACTACAGGAAAAACAACGTTGACTTCCCTGTTAAAATTACACTTCATGTCATTGGGTGCTTGATAACTCAGGTCACATGACAAATCAAAAATACCTGCTTGTTCTTTGTAAATTGAAAAACATAAAATTTTAAATCAGAATGACCTTTATTTAAGCAGTGTTTGAGTGGTGTGTCAACAGCACAGTCAATGCAGTTCTCACGGATATGCCCAAGCTAGCTTCAAAGTGACTCATCCAGGTACTGAGCAGGACAGCACTAACTGTCAGAGTACTCACCTAGCTTCTCAGACAGGCTTTTCAGGTGAGCTTCACAAGCAAAGGGTAACTTCCCAAGAAATTTCATAACTGAGAAAAGGGAAGGTACCAAATGGTCGCTCCTTTCCATCATTTCTACTTTTCCATCCATATTCTTCAATTTTTACTACTTCCATCCACATGCAACATGAGAAAACAAAATTAAAGCAAGTTTTATAATTAGATTATATTAAGTTATATTGATAAGTGACAGTGCACATAGCTAAGGAAATGCGCTGCCCTCCTGAAAAGATCCAACAGTTCGGTTCATTCATGAACTGCAGTTGCAGATTCACCAGGGATTATTTTTCAGTTCTTTAGGCATTCCAGAGCAGAACTCATCCTACCTGATACCCCATTTAACTATTCAACACACTGCTTTTGAGTTCAGTAATTAAAATGGTAATTAGGTAGTTTTGTGGAAAAGTAAGCGGGTGTATGTTTTATGTTATTCTTCAATGGGTGGTCCTGTATGAGGATCATATTAAGATGCAGCACTGGAAAGGACCCAGGGAGTAACCTTGTTCAACCCCCTGCTTTGAAACAGGATCAAGTATACCTGACGCCCTTCCAGGGTGTGAGTTACATGGGAGCCCCGGGGGGGAGGACATGGTGGGGAAAGCCTCTCATCTTACAATTGAGCACAAGGCAGCAAGGGGGCAGGCAACTGCTGTGGTTGAAACCCCCAGTTGTGGACAGTCACAGCTCCTCCCTGCCCCCCCC